AGACAAAGCATGATAAGTCTTCTTTAAAATAACACAAAAATTAAGTTAAATCAAAACCAAACCAAGACTAAACAAAGACTTAAGCAGGGCCGATCCAGAACCAAACCTGCACTAAACCCTGTGCTCTCTCTCTTTCAGTGCTTCCTGCGTTCAACGTGACCCTCACTCCACAGAAACCTTTCTTCAGCGTCGACGACAATGAACTGGTCATAACCATCACAGCCAGGTATGAGACTACTGGTTTAGTCCTGGTTTAGTCCTGGTTTAGTCCTGATTTAGTCCTGGTTTAGTCCTGGTTGAGTTCTGGTTTAGTCCTGGTTTAGTTCTGGTTTAGTACTGGTTTAGTACTGGTTTAGTTCTGGTTTAGTCCTGGTTTAGTCCTGGTTTAAATCTTTCTTCCATGTTATAATGGTCCCTCATCAAAAACATGCCTGAAGAGGTTTTAGAGTCATCCATGCATGTTTGAGTATTTCAGTGATCTCTCCTGGGCCATATTCAAACCCTCCTTCTGGTCAGCTGTAAGATTCTGTGCTGTGCTCCGCGCACAAGCCAACGTCACCCAACCACACCACAATTCAACTTAAATATACACACAAACATGACACAAAACTGTACACAGCCACTGGACAAACCTGATGAAGGGGAAGTGACTTTGCATGGGGAGCAAAGGAAGGGGGATTCATGTTAATATGTTTTATACAATTTTCAACAATAAAAGGTAACATGGTGATGTAAATATGTTGTGTGTTAGCAGTTAATGCCCCCTCTTTAAACGTGTGTGTGTCAGGTACCTGTACGGTCAGCCTGTGCAGGGAAAGGCTTACGTCATGTTTGGAGTGAAACATGAGAAAGAGAAGATCCGTCTGAGAGCCATGAAGCAGGTCACCAATGTAAGTCTTTAAAATGCATGTATCCATCCATGCAGTTTCTTATTTTGGTGTAAAAATAATACAGAAGTCACACGGCAAATGGAGCTGTTGTAATAATGAACTCTGTACCTGTAAACCGCCATCTGAAAGTACAAAAACATGAAAACAATTTACTGATGCAGAGGTAAAGATTGATACCAAATCTTTGTTTTGCAACTCTCAAGTAAATCTCAAGTCTTTGACTTCATGTCTGAGTCAAGTCTTGAATAAAACACTGGCAAGTCAAGTCTTGAGTCAAAGACAGGCACGTCCAAGTCTTGAGTCAAAGTGGCCCGAGTCAGTGGCCCTCAAGTCCAAGTTTTCTGCTTTGAACATCAGGTCATTTCAAGTCTTTAAAAATGTACTGAATACAGCTTGAATTTTAGCAATTTCTTTGATTTTTAAACTAAACTGTCCTGCTTTAAGAGTCATGTAACAAATATGGATGTAACAATATCCAAATCCTAATGTCATGGTGCAGTATTTATTTACTGTAATAGTCTGGAGAGACTAATAGAATTGTAGGTTTGATCCCAGACATTAAGGTGAATCATTACAGCCATAATCCAAAAATCCAAACCATTTAAATACTCGATGTTGCAGTATTTCAGTTTTTGTTACATCTCTGGTAACAAACAGATGAGTGGGGAGGGACATGTTTTTCTAAAAATATCAACTCATCTTCATACCACACTGTACCATAGCAACTTTATTTATAAAGCACTTTAAAAACTTTACAGCTGGACAAAGCATTTTATCAAATTAAGTCTCAAGTCTTAAAATAGTGACTGACTCGAGTCCAAGTCATGACATGAAAGTCCCCATCTCTGACTGATGCTACTGACATCTGTCAGCTCTTGTTAACAGAATTAATCATAGTTTTGTCCTCTTTCAGCTGGATGGAGGGACAGTGTCTCTGACCCTGAATGACCTGAAGGCAGAGTACCCAAACATCAGGAGTTTAGTGGGAAAGTCCATCTACGTCAAGGCCTCAGTGCTCACTCTCTCAGGTACTCAGCTTTCACTGTACTGTACTAAAGAACACATTACACAAAATGGACTTTTTAGAGCTTTTAACCATGTCAGATAATTGTTCTCACATTAAAACCATACTTGAAGTTATATTTAAATTACTGAAACGCTGGTTTCAGTAATCCTCTGTAAAAATCCTTTGTGCACTGATTTTTAAGTGCACAAATGTTTTTTTTCTTATTTTCAAGACGCCATTTTGCAGATCCCCCATTTTACACACCCACTGTGATGTACTTTATTTTCTTAATCGGTGATACACGTAGGTTTCAGCAGTGTTGCGGTGGCATTTTGGTACAAATGAAAAACAATCCCCTACTCACTAGTGTGATATGCAGCTATCCATAGGAGGGGCCCACAGCCTGCGGCTCTTTGATGTGATGACGTTTACGGTGAGGAGAACTCCCAGTGGACACCACACTTTTCTAACACAGAAGTCATTGGATTTTTTTTTCTTTCATTTAATCGTTTTAGATCAATATTGTGTTTTCGAAATGTACTTCTCTAAGTCTATAAATCATTGACAGACTGGTTTTAAGCATTGCTGCTGTCCAATGTCCATGTCCAGACATGTTCCACGTGACTTTGTGTATTTGTTGTTGTTAATTCTCACTGCTGCCAGGAACTGGACTCAGGGTTTTGTTTGTTGTCATAAACTTTAGACCTGCACACAAACTATTTCATCACTGCTACAAAGACATTACAAAACCACTGCACAAACAGATCATGTGATTTAAACAGGAACACTACTTTCAGCCAGGGGGCGCTATATTACACTAAAGTACCTGTACCATGGTGTCTGAGCGGCTAGCACTCACACTTCACAGCAAGAAGGTTCCAGGATCGACTCCTGGGCTTTTCTGTGTGGAGTTTGCATGTTCTCCCTGTGTCTGGATGGGTTTAACTTCAAACATTTCAGTAATTTGGTAGTTCTGTCATCTCCGGACAATAAAAACATACATAAATAAAGGTACTAATGTAAAGTATGAACTGAACTCACTGTTAGAATGATGTGATGATAATGCCTCACTGCTGTCCCCTGTGCTGTTTCCAGGCGGTGATCTGGTGGAGACAGAGAAGAGCGGGATCCGGATCGTCATTTCTCCGTTTGTTTTATCGTTCCGAGACGCTCCAAAGTACTTCAAACCCGGCCTGCCCCTCGCCCTCACGGTGAATTCTAAAGAGCCAAGCTGATCTTTGACCACTTGAAATGAAATGACTCTTGCCTCTTGATTTGATTTAAACAAGTCCACATCAGGCTTAAAGTGCATGTGCACTTTAAGCCTGATGTGGCTTAATGGTCATGGTTTTGTAATTCTGACTTGTTTATCATAGTTTTACATCAGTTAAGTAGCAGTTTGTGGGAATGAGTATGTTTCTGATGACTAAACAACATTATAACATAGATCAGAAAGTAGTGTAATATGGGCCCTTGAATCTTGAAGGTAAATTGTGATTGTAACTGTGCAGGTGGATGTGAGGCACCATGACAACTCTCCGGTCCAAAATGTCCAAGTGAAGCTGTCATTCCAGGACACTCCACTAGTGGTCAGTGGAGGCTCCACTCGCACCAGTATCAACATGCCCAAAGACAGGAACGTGCAAGTCATCACGGTCAGAACACATTTCTTTATTTAAATGTATCTGTACTCGGGCTGCAAGATGAATTGCCATTTTAATGCAATGAGCAAAATTTGAAAGACATTTTTATCATAATTTCCTCCACAAACAACTAAATCTCCTGTGTTATTCTGTATACAATCTGCTAATCCTGTAGTTTAGATCTGTACAAACATGTTCTGAAATGTGAATCTGTCTAATTGTGTTTTTTCTGACAGTCATTGTGATTGTGATTCTTTGGTAGAAGAACTTAGCCAAAGAAAATAAAAGATTAAAGTGATATAGGCAGTTTTAGTTTTAGGAAAGACAATCCATCTTTGAACAGTAATGGAGGGCTCAGTTATCATCTCTCTCCTTTTTACAACTCCATCCTCAGACCTAAATCAAATTCGGAACGTCATGACTGTTTGAATGAGTCAAAAAATTAGTTATATCCAGTTGAAAGAAAAGGACAGACATCTTCCCTGTCCACAAATGCACACATCTCTCCTCTTTGCACTTTTTTCACAAACTAAGTAATCTGTATTGACGCTAAAATAGTCTGAAGTATGTCTCTGTCACCATGTTTGTTCATCAATTGTGTGCAGGCAGAGACGGTGCAGCCAGGTCTGAGGCCGGAGCAGCAGGCCCGCACAGAGCTCCGGCTGAGGTCCTACATGACATACAGGGCAGCCCTGAATCTGCTCTACATCTCTTGGGAGGGCCACCGGGTCAGTGTGGGAGACAGTCTGCGCCTCAGCTTCACTTTGATCGTGGAGAAGCCAGAGCACCGGCAGCACATCAAACACATCACGTACATGGTGAGTACTGAGGAGGAGTAGAAGTAGTAAAAACAGTAGTAACAGTAGTAGTAGTAGTTGTAGTAGTAGTTGTAGTAGTTGTAGTAGTAGTTGTAGTAGTAGTAGTAGTTGTACTAGTTGTAGTAGTTGTAGTAGTAGTTGTAGTAGTTGTAGTAGTAGTTGTAGTAGTAGTTGTAGTAGTTGTAGTAGTAGTTGTAGTAGTAGTTGTAGTAGTTGTAGTTGTAGTAGTTGTAGTTTGTAGTAGTAGTTGTAGTAGTTGTAGTAGTTGTAGTGAAATTTTCCATCCAGAAGACATTTTAAGTTTGATTTTGACTTCTGAATGGGAGCTGAAACTCGATTTTCAAAACATTGTCCAGATGACCACTGCTGAAAGCAGCTGTATGGTGTGTGGGAGCAGGACAGGGACAACAATGTGCTCTCCTGTCCGGTGATGGTGCTGTGCAGAGGGTGTAGGGGCTTATCCAGGATGGACAGGAGCTTGTGTAGGGCCCTCTTCTCATCCACAGATGTGAGTGAGTCAAGCTCTGCTCCCACTGCAGATCCTGCACCACCATCTTATCCAGCTGCACAGTGTCCTGCCCCAGCAGACCACAGTGTTAAAGAGGACACTGGAGATAACTGTCTGGCAGAACATGAGCAGGAGCTTCTGGCAGATGTTAAAGAACTTCAGCCTTCTGAGAAAGTACAGCCTGCTCTGTCCCTTTCTGTAGAGCTGATCTGTATTCTCCTTCCAGTCCAGTCTGTGGTCGAGATGTAAGCCCAAATACTTCTAACTCTACAACCTCCACAGTGTCCCCCTCAGTGGCTTTATAGTCAGTATTGAATTTATTTGCTGTTAGGATCGGCAGCCCCATGTAAGATAATACAACCCGAACGATGACTGCAACTTCTGGAATAAAGTGAATAGTAAAACAGGCAGAGAGGCACAGAGAACTGTAAAAATCACCTGGGTTACACACATGTAGAACACTCCCTCCATCTGAAATGACATCATCAAATTCAAGAAAACAACCTATTGTTCAATCCTGCCTCTCTCTGTCCCTCAATATTATGGTATAACATTAACAGTATCAGATTTACCATGTGTTTTGTGTGTAGGTGCTGAACAAAGGGAGTATCATCAAATCAGAGCGACTGGAAGTCTTTTCCCAGCATGTGGTGGCGATACAGCTCAGTGTTACCCCAGAAATGATGCCCTCTTTTCGAGTCGTTGCGTTCTACTCACTCCCCTGGTCCATAGAGGAGGAGGTGGTGGCTGACTCCATCTATGTGGAGGTGCAGGAGTCCTGTGTGAGGACGGTACGGATCCTTGTTATATCTCCATGTTCCAATGCTGTTACCTCATCTAAAACAGACCTGGGTTGGGTTTCATTCACACATGTTTGAATAATCCTGGATTATTAGGCTGTCTGCAGTTCAAAAAGCTCCATTTCACCTTGTGATGTCATTAAGTTAGTTTTGTGGTAGTAGTTTAGTGGTAGTTTTACTCTACAATACTTAAGAACAGTCTGAGATTGTTGCTTTTATTTTTGAATATTAGTTTAACTTTTGTTAGGGCTGGGGACTGAAACTTGGTTCCATGTAGGAACCGACTGAAAAGGGTCGGTAAGTACTGGTACCAAAATATTAACATTTTCTCAGTGCCAGCTTTTGGTTCCTTGGCTTTAAATGCCTGCATCATTGAGCCGGTGCATACACTGCTTCGCAGACTTTGCCAGAATTCTCAAATGTCAGTCAGTTATCCATAATTATAATTTTGCTTTAATCCATAATTCCAGGATAATGGATTAAAGCAGTAAAAGAGTAAAAGGACGTAAAAGGAAGTAAGAAGTAAAAGCACGTGCTCCCAGCACTGCCTTTAATATAAAGTGCTGTATGCAGCGAAAACAAAAGTGAATGTCAATACAAGTGAGGATCAGTTGTGCTCTGGTTCATTTACATGTGCTTGTGCTTTTGTTTGGAGTTATAACTGAACATCAAGTACTATTTTTTAAAATACAAATGAACACAGTTATAAAGTAATTCAAGGATTGAACAGTATTTTCTTAATAATATTAGCCATTCATTTACATAAAAAATACAAAAAAAGTACCCAGCCTCACCTTTGGTACAGTTGAGAATGTCAATAGAAAATCTTTAACATCTGCTGATGCAGATGAAGGGTTGAATCAGTTTAACTTAAGTTTACTTAAGGGTAAAACAAAAGCTTCAAAGGCAGTTCCAGGGCTGAAATGGTTTATTGGGATATTGCATCGATAGAACGTACTGCAGCCTGTACACTTAACACTTTTTTAAGCACCCTGGTTCTCTAGTTGTAACCCCACTGTTGTGTCCTCCAGCTGAGTGTGGGACCACAGGGGACACCCACTGACCTCATGCCTGGGAAGACGCTCCGCCTGCGAGTACAAGCAGAGCCCGGCTCCACCGTCAGCCTGGTCGCTGTGGACAACTCTGTGTTTCTGCTGCGGGGAGACAGGCTCACCCAGAGCAAGGTACTATTACTGCTTCTACTATTACTACTACTGCTCCTGCTACTAAACCAGGACTACTCCAGGACTACACCAGGACTAACAGGTTGTTGTACATACTGTGTGCAGGTGTGGGGCGTGCTGCAGAGGGGGGACCTGGGTTGTTCACGTGGGGGAGGGGCCAGTGCCAGAGGAGTCTTCTCAGATGCTGGACTGCTCTTCTTCTCAAACGGCCGTTTCAGGACTGACTTCAGACAAAGTCCGGCTGACACAAGCTTATCTCCCTCTCCTGTACTTCTGCTCACTCCAGAATCAGTAAATAAATAAACATGCATGTGCTTTTGTCCACAGCGCTGCAGTGCCCACGCAGCTCCAGGTGGAGACGCTCTGCTGATCTCGTAGAGCGCAAAGCTGCACTTGGTAAGTACTAAGTGAACATATGAAGTCCTGTTCTAGGCCTGGTTTTGTCCTGGTCTTAGCCTGGTTTAGTCCTGGATCTGACCCTGGTATCTCCCTGGTCTCTCGCTGGTCTAGTCTACTCATGGTCTAGTCCTGGTCTAGTCCTGGTCTAACCCTGGTGCCTCCTCTGTAGAACGGGAGTACAAAGATGAGCTGTTGCGCCGCTGTTGTGTGGATGGTCTCAGGGACATTCCGATGCGGTACTCATGCACACGGAGGTCCCTGTACATCTCAGAGGGAGTGGAGTGTATCCGGGCTTTCAGACACTGCTGTGGCAAGTACCGGGGCGAGCCCATCGACCCCCACATGCCCACTGCCATGCCCAGCTTCATCACAACCACCACCACCCCCACCCCCACCACCAGCGCGCCCAGGCAATGGGGCAGGTTGGAAATAATGCCCTACCGCCTCCCGTTTGGTAAGTACAACCAGAGTGGATCCTGGTTCAGTTTTGGATTAGTCCCAGTTTAGTCCCAGTTTAGTCCTGGTTCAATTCAGTTTTAGTCTTGGTTCAGTCCTGATTCATTTCTGATTTAGTCCCGGTTTAGTCCCAGTTCTGTCCTGGTTTAGTCTTGATTCAGTCTTGGTGAGTCCTGGTCGGTGTCGGTGAATGTGTCTATGAAAGTCACTTGCTGCTTAAATATCTTGTACTAGTTTTATATTGATTAGTGTCTAATTTTCTAAACTTTTGACTAGACCGAGTAGGAGTCACATTTTACTCCCCTGGTATGAATGGGGGGATGAAACAATTCGGAAGGCCAAGGGAACCGCCGATGACGGGGCAGCCTGGTCCACGTGGGGAGGCACGAACAGACACACCTACGCAACAAGAAGATCTGTATGAGGAGGACTGGGAGGACGAGGACTTGGACGAGACCATGGTGGATCTCAGGTCTAAGTTCCAGGAGTCGTGGCTCTGGGAGGACCTGCCTGTGCCCTCCAAATCGGACCACAGCACAGGGTAGGAACAGTTTAGTCTTGGTTTAGTTTAGGTTTAAAACTAGTTCAGTTTGGTTTAAGTTTTTAGTTTTGGTTCAAAGAGACTTAGAGACAGCTTCTTTCCCAAAGCTGTCACCATTCTAAACTCAAGTTTACACTGAGAACGGTTCATTTGTTTGCTTTTTTTTGCCCTTTGATGGAGCAGCTCTGCATCTCATTACACTATGTATAATGACAGTAAAGACTTTCTATTCTATTTGTATTCTATTCTAGTCTATTTAGTCCTGGTTTTGTCCCGACTCAGTTCTGACTTAGTCCTGGTTTAGCCCTAGTTTAGCCCTGTTTAGTCCTGGTTCTGGTCTAACCCCGGTCTCTTCTCCTCAGGCTGTCCTCTGTGACTGTAGAGCGCCCCCTGCCTGACAGTATCACAGAGTGGGGCATCATGGCCATCAGCACCTCGGCTCAAACAGGTCTGGATTTATTCACTGTATTTACAACAAACAAAACCATATTTTACCAGCTTGACTGGGACGCCATTTTGACAGAGGTGGATCAGCAGTAATGAATGGTACCAAGTCACTTTTGGAGATTTTTTTTCATTAAAGGAAATTGTAGACAATGATTTAGTTTAAAATGAATCACATTAAACATTAGGGTATAGATAGACTGTGTAGATTTTTCCTTAATTCTGCAATATCTGGACATCTGGTTTACTTCTAATATCATCACAAAGGTTTCTTGGAGATATTTGTGAAAAACAGACTTTATTATAAAGCCCTGTACATATAACGTTTACTGACACTGACAGTTTAAATGATGTGAAATAATGAAAATACGATGTGCTCTACTAATGTGCAGATGTTGTAACTACATAACAGTTAAATCACTCATGTAAATGTAACAAACACACAAAAACTATAGATTTAACTTTAATTTGTGATTATATTTTGTACAATCCACATTTCTAAGCATCATTAACATTAAACATATGAACAGTCTCGTTAATAGACTATTTAACACTGATCAACAATACACAAATTTGAATCAATCATTATGAGGCTATGGTTGAACCATTCAAATAAAAGTGAATTTTAAAACTACTATTACTACTACGACTACTACACCAACACACATGCACATCTAAACTACTACTACTACTACTACTACTACTACTTCTGCTACTATACCACCAGCACTCATGCACAATTAAACTACTACTACTACTACTACTACTACTACTACTACTACTACTACTACTACACCAACACGCATGCACAACTAAACTACAACTACTACTAACACTACCACTACTACTACTACTTCTGCTACTATACCACCAGCACTCATGCACAATTAAACTTCTACTATTACTACTACTACACCAACACGCATGCACAACTAAACTACGTACAACTACTGTACAGCTACTACTACTACTACTACTACTACTACTACTACTATACCACCAGCACTCATGCACAATTAAACTACTACTAATACTACTACTATTACTACTACTACACCAACAACATGCATGCACAACTAAACTACAACTACAGCTACTACTACTACTACTACCACTACTTCTACTACACCAACACGCATGCACAACTAAACTACGCACAACTACTTTACAGCTACTACTACTACTACTACTACACCACCATCACTCATGCACAATTAAACTACTGCTAATACTACTAGTACTACTACACCAACAACATGCATGCACAACTAAACTACAACTACTGCTACTACTACTACTACTACTACTACTACTACTACTACTACTACTACTACTACTACTATACCACCAGCACTCATGCACAATAAACTACTAACTTACTACTTACTACTTCTACTACTACTACTACTACTACTACTACTACTACTACTACTACACCAACACGCATGCACAACTAAACTAAACTATAACTATTACCACTACTACTACTACTACTACTACTACTACTACTACTACTACTACTACTACTACTACTGTGACTACTACTACTACTGACTACTACTACTACTACTACTACTACTACTACTACTACTACTATACTACTACTACTACTACTATACCACCAGCATTCATGCACAATTAAACTACTAGGACTACTACGACTACTACTACGACTACTACGACTACTACGACTACTACGACTACTACGACTACTACGACTACTACACCACCAACACTCCTGTACCAGCACCACTGATTGATGATGTGCTATGTCAATCTGGCATTATAAATGACCTGAATGCATTATTAACATGTCTTTATATTTGTCCTACGTCTGCCGCTACTACATGCTACTGTTACTGATGTACTACCACTGCGAGTAGTACATCTAGCAGTACTTGTAGTAAGTTGTAGTATAAGTTGTAGTTTAGTTGTGAAGAGTTTTTGGTGATTTGAAACGTGTGCCTGTGGTTCTGTCAGATGGAGGGAGTGCAGAAGACCTGGTTCATAGGTTCAACAGTTCAAAGGTTACTGTACTGGTATTAACAGGTCAATTTTGTTTGGCAGTGAGTCAGCTCATTTATTCACATACACACATCTGCATCTAGACAAATGACTATGGCAAAAAGAACTAAAAACCCATTAGGAACAATACTTTAAATAGAAGAATACAAATATGCCCCATGTGCAAAGGAAGCATAAATAAGATCAATATAATACAGTTTAATCACTTGTTCAGGGCAAAGATGACTGCTGGAACAAAGGTGCTTCTGTTTACAGAGGAGCTATTTAAACCTCTGCCCTCATGGAAAACAATGAAAGTCATTATTCAGAAGATGGAAGTCATCTTTTAAACTGACCCCTGTCAGCCTCTGCTCCTGCCTCAAATAGAGAAAAGCAGGATAAAGCTGAGACTGCCCAATCAGCTTATTTGCCCATTTCACCACCTGATTCAGGGAGTTTCTGTTTTTAAGAGACAAGTTACAAAACCATGAAACAAACAAAATCATACAATAAAACAGGTATGATAAAATAACTATAAAACATTTTTAACAAGGTTTTGTCCATTTGGAAGGATGACAGTTTCCGTTTACAAAACAAGCTCTGGGGCTTCACAATCGGGCTCTAAGGTGAATTTTTTGTCAATACCAGTTGCAAGATATTTGTAAGTGCTCACAGACTCAACAGGTTGACTTTTTAAAATAGTTGGATCCTGATTGAGAGCAGCTTTTCAAAAGTCAGTGACCATATCTTTTGTTTTTAGAACGTTCATCTGGAGGAAAGACTTCTCACATCAGTCCAAGAAGTCATCATACCACAGACTATATAAACTGACATAGCTAACCTGTTGCTTCCATTGACTCTGGCTCAATTCACTTTCTACTGAACAACCGTGGCCCCTCTCTCTGTAACTGCTGCTGTCAGAGAATTTGGTCTTAAAATCGTTGATATTAACCCACTCTACATATTCTTTGTGTTTTTATTTCCCAATTTCATCCATAAATAAACATATGAACCTTAATAACAGATCAATTATGTGCAGCGACAGGCAGGGGCAGACTGAGGACCGGGGTGAGCTCAAATCAGATTTAAAAATCTGATCCCCTGGCAACACGTTTGATTGACAGTGCGTGCCTAAGCACCTGCTTCCTGTCAAACCAGCAGGAAGGGGCATTACCTTCAACCTTTGTTGCTATGATACATACGCTTGGATTTCTAAACATGGATTTTGGCTCTAGATTAGCTGCTATATGTGCTAGCCTCGTGAGCTCCAATTGACACGAGCTGAACTCTATGGGTGACGTCACACTTCCTCAGTCCTCTTGTTTATTCTGAGGGTGCTAAGGAAGGAGCAACTAAACACAAGTCTGCTGGTGACCTTCTATCGTTCCACCATTGGTCACCTTCTGACCTCTGCTGTGACAGTGTGGCACTCTCACTGCACAGAGACTGACAGGAAGTGTCTGCAGAGAGTGACCAACACTGCACAGGACATTATTGGCTGCCCTCTGCCTTCCTTAACCACATTATACAACTCCCTCTGTCTCAGCAGAGTGAGGAAAATCATTAAAGACAATACACACCCTGGACTCCACCTGTTCAAACTCTTGCCTTCTGGCAGGTGCTTCAGGTCTACTGTATAATCACAATAAAGGCTTTCTATTCTATTCTGTTCTATTTCTATTTATACATAATGTCTGACACGGTCTCTTGTTTTTCGCTGCAGGCTTCTGTGTGGCAGAGCCTTATAACGTCCGAGCCTGGAAGCCCCTCTTTGTGGATCTGAAGCTGCCGTACTCTGTCGCCCGAAATGAACAAGTGCAGATCCGAGCCGTGGTCTACAACTACTCCCCTGACAACAGAGAGGTCTGCAACTAGTCCTGGTTTAGACCTTCTTTAGTCCTGGTTTATTCCTGGTTTAATCCCAGTTCAGTCCTGGTTTAGACTGGGTTCAGTCCTGGTTTATTCCTGGTTTAATCCCGGTTCAGTCCTGGTTTAGAACAGGTTTAGTCCTGCTTCAGTCTTGATTCATTGTTTATTCTTTATTTATTAGGGTCCCCTAATAAATGTTAGGGTTCCCTTTAGCTGTACCTGGGGTCCTTCATTTAAAAAGTTTTCATTTCATCAAGGCAAGGTTTTAAAAACTATATAAATAGTTCTGGTTCCTGGTTTAGTCTAAAGTCAGTTCTCGTTTAGTCTCGGTTCAGTCCTGGTTTAGGGTGACCATATTTCCATTTGTGAAAACCCAGACAGTTTTACCGGGGGTGGGGCCTTCACATTGAACTACTCTCACCTCGCAACCTGTGCACATGACCTCCCACTTGTCCCTACCTCGATGGAAAATTGAGAATTTCTTGTTCAAATCATTGTTAAATGCGCATTTGCGCTTCGGCATGTTGCAGACAGACCGACTGTTTGTGTCTGCTCGCTCCATCTGAGTGAACAGAGAGCTACGAGAGATGCCCAATTTAATGGTCCCAGTGAACGATAATGAAAAGCCGGACATTTCCATCATTTAAAAAACAAAAACCCAGATGCTCAGGACAGGACGCAAAAAAACTGACATGTCCTGGGAAAAACTGACGTTTGGTCCTGGCTCAACCCTGGTTCAGTTGTGGTTCTGTCCTGATTACACCCTGGTTCACTCCTGGTCCAGTCCTGGTTCAGTCCTGGTTCACTCCTGGTCCAGTCCTGGTCCAGTCCTGGTCCAGTCCTGGTCCGGTCCTGGTCCAGTCCTGGTTCAGTCCTGGTTCAGTCCTGGTTCAGTCCTGGTCCAGTCCTGGTTCAGTCCTGGTTCAGTCCTGGTCCTTCTGTGTGTTAGGTGCGTGTGACTCTGAAGAGGACAGAGCAGATGTGCAGTGTTGCGTTCAGGGACAGCTTCGTTCAGGAGGTGTTGGTGGAGTCTGGTTCCTCTGTGGTTCTGCCCTTCACTGTGGTGCCTCTGGCTGTGGGACACCTGCCCCTCGAGGTGATAGTGGTCACCAAAGACATGATGATGACCGACGGTGTCCAGAAGAACCTACGTGTGGTGGTGAGAGACTAAATACTACTACTACTACTACTACTACTACTACTACTACTACTACTACTACTACTACTACTACTACTACTACTACTACTATTTCTACTGTTGCTACTACTACTCATGTAACAACTACTACTACACCAACACTTATGCACAACTACTACTACTACACCAACACTCATGCACACCTATTACTACTACTACTACTACACCAACACTCATGCACAACTACTACTACTACTACTACTACTACTACTACTACTACTACTACTACTACTACTACTACTACACCACCAGCAATCATGCACTACTACTACTACCACCACCACCACTACTACTACTACTACTACTACTACTACTACTACACCAACACTCATGCACAACTAAACTACTACTACTACTACTACTACTGCTACTACTACTACTGCTACTACTACTGCTACTACTACTATGCCACCAGCACTCATGTACAATTAAACTACTACTACTACTACTACTACTACTTCTACTTCTACTACTAATACTATTACCTGAATGCATTCTTAACATGTCTTTATATTTGTCCTACTTCTGCTGCTACTACATGCTACTGTTACTAATGTACTACCACTGCGAGTATTACATCTAGCAGTACTTAAAAGTTGTAGTATAAGTTGTAGTTTAGTTGTGAATAGTTTTTGGTGATTTGAAACGTGTGCCTGTGGTTCTGTCAGATGGAGGGAGTGCAGAAGACCAAAGTGTGGAGTGTGGTGCTGAACCCTGCAGCTGAAGGAGGTCTGTTCATTTTGATTCTTCTTCACGTGTGGTTCACTTTAAACTCAGGAGTTCTGTCACTGTTATAACTCAACTGTTCTGTTCTTCTGTTTTTTGTTGTTGTTTTGTTAATTTGGTATTCGGTTTTGTTGTTCTGTTGTTTTGTCTTTTGTTGTTCTGTTGTGTTGTTGGTTTGTTGTTTTGTCTTTTGTTGTTCTGTTGTGTTGTTGGTTTGTTGTTTTGTCTTTTGTTGTTCTGTTGTGTTGTTGATTTGTTGTTTTGTCTTTTGTTGTTCTGTTGTGTTGTTTTATTGTTCTCTATTTTGTTGTTTTGTTGTTTTGTCTTTTGTTGTTCTGTTGTTGTTTTGTTATTGTTATGTTGTGCTGTTGTTCTGTTTTTTGTTGTTCTGTTGTAGGCACTCAGACCGTGCGGATGGGGAAGATCGATCTGGACTCTGTGGTGCCAAACTCGGTCCCAGAAACCTTCATCAACGTCCGAGGTCTGACGCAGCATTTGTAAAGCATTTTTGGACCTGACTTCATCCTGGTGGTACTCCTGGTTTAGTCCTGATTTAGTCTTAATTTAGTCCTGAATAAGTCCTAGTTTGGATTTGGTTTAGTCCTGTATTAATCTTGGAAAAGTCCTGGGTTGGTCCTGGGTTTGTTCCTGCTTTAGTCCTGCTTTCGTCCTGCTTTAGTCCTGCTTTAGTCCTGGTCTAACCCTCTCCTCTCTCCAGGCAACGTGCTCGCAGACAGTCTGGATAACTCCCTGAACCCGGACTCTCTGGCAGCTCTGATCCGGATGCCTGGGGGCTGTGTGGAGCAGAACCTGGCCTCCATGTCTCTGCCCACCATCGCCTTCCTGTACCTGGAGAGGACGGACGACTGGGGGAGAGTGGGCGCACACCGCAAAGACGAGGCGCTCGGCTTCATACGAAAAGGTAAAACAATATATACAGTACAGTAAGTGTGTATAAAGAAGTGGACTAAGGCAGTGTGACGTCGCTCACAGCATTCAGCACCAGTCAAATAAAACGTACCGAGGCTGACAGTTATAGGGGCGAATTTGGAGTGAGTTCCATATTAGGAATGTAGAGTGGGTTAATATGAACATTTTAAGACCAAAATGATGAGGCTCACAGCAGCAGTTACAGAGCAAGTGGGGATAATATTCCTTTTCAGGTCAATGGGAGACAGGGTCAGAATGAGCCGGAAGTGTCCTCATGCTTCTTCCTGTTTGGAAAGTGGCGAACAGCATGTTAGCTATGTCCATTTTTATATACAGTCTATGGGGATTACACAGATATAAGGCCACATGGGAATAGAAAAGAAAGCACTACCATTTAATGTTGAAAATCACATTCTACTGTCTACAGGGCAGCTGCGGAGTGTTAAAAGTCTTCAAAAGGTCTTAAATTTCATGTTCCTAAATTAAGGCCTTAAAAAGTCTTAAATTCTCTTGTCCAAGTCTTATTTTTTCACAAAGATCTTAAATTTCATTAGCCTATTTTTTGTTTACTCAACCAATCTCAAATCATTTAACAGGAATGAACACCTAATTTGGAGTATGTGCAAACAATACTTTGGTTTCTGGTGCCGGCGGCAATGAGTAAATGATCAGTAGAGTGGAGGAAGACTAGAAGATTAGATGGATCATGGGGAAGTTTGGAAATTCTAGATATATTACCTGTAGTTGGTTGGTCATTATTGGCCCCGTCTACACTTGTACGTATTGGAGTTGTTTTCGTTGTGGATGCAGTGTTTGTCCACACTGATCCGGCACTGTGTGGATGCCTGAAAACACTGATGTAGGTCTGTGCACCGTGAAGTAATTCATCGCCAAAACACTAAGAGGCTACAATATATGTCCATTCATTTATATGGTCTGTGCGTACGACCAGCAGACGTATAATCTCTGAAAAGTTTAACATGAACCATCTCCAAAGGAATAAATCACAGAGCAGACTCACTATCAGCAGAACACTCCTCTGTCACAGGGAGAACACTCATATTCCACTATTCGTCCTTTAGTCCAACAGAAGTTTAACTGCATCAGCGCATATGGAAAGAGCTGTTTTTTTATCTTTATGCAAATTAGCCATGCGATTTTAAATGTAGTTTCTGTAAAACTTAAACCAATATGCTCACGGCTGTGCGCATATGGAAGACTTGCAGACACAGAAAGGACGAGTCTGGATGCAGATCTTTTCCGATACGGCGATACAGTGATACACGGATTCATTTCAGTGTAAACGTAGTCTAAGAATTGGATCTGGTGTTTTCGCCTGCATCATGGGTGCAATGTTGGTCTTAATTTTCATTTAAGTGGTCTTAAAAGGGCTTTAAAAAGTCTTAAATTTGGAATAGTCAAACCTGGGGATACCCTGGTCTAAATAAAGTGTTTTTATTATCATATCATCTTGGTATTCCAATCGGTGTCAGGTAATGAGTTTGTTCCTTAGTATCGAAATCAAGTTTAAATTTTTGCATTGTGACAACACTAATACACAGCTGAGAGCAAAACAAAAGTGGATTTAGTACCATATTCAGTTCCACTTTAAATCTTACCACAGTGAATGAGCCCTGTGTCCTGGTTTATGGAACCAATATGACACAAAATAAAATTCATATTAAACAGTTTTAAGACCTCGAAGCATAAATAATTCATAATTCTTGCCCTTTTTATTTTCAGGCTACAGCAATCAGCTGGCCTACAGGAGGAGTGACGGCTCATACCCCCCCTACAGGAAGCAAGGGGCAAGCACATGGTACTGTCCACAACTGCACGAGTCAACATTATCAGTTAATCGGTCACAAAATAAAACTAAAAGAAATAATAATAAAAATAATAATAGTAATAATAATAGTGACAAATTGCATACATTGTTTTCCACAAATATCTCTAAATGTAAACACTAAACACTAAACAATAACTTAATAGGGGGTATTATGCTAAATGTACTTTTTTTTTTTTAAGCGTTCTACCATGTTGTAATGTTCCCACATCAAATAATCTAGCGATCTCTCCTGGGCCCTATTCAATTCCTCCTTGAGGTTAACTGTAAGGTTCTGTCCAAGGCTCCACCCACAAGCCTACGTCACCCACTCTCCCACAGGACAATTCTCCATAAATATACAAAACATGATACAAAACAACACGCTACAACTTCACAAACCTAATGCAATGTGCAGTAGATTCAGTTGTGTTATGAAACTTATACATTAAACTTATAAAACATGTTAACAAATATATCATTTTCAAAATAATGTAAGGTAACATGGTGATTTAAATATTTGATGTGTTAGCAGTTAATATCCCCTTTTAACTTTATCATTCAGAATGTTTGAATTTTCCTGGTTATTTGGATTTATAGGCCTATATTTTGGTCAAAGTTGAGGCTTGAACTCATCATTTTAAGCAGGATGTCTCCACAAATGTCAAAAAATATTTGTACTTTTTTGTCCTTTTGAGAAATGCGGTGAGTACAGATGCCTGCTCTCAAATGTAGTAAAAAAAAAAGTGTCCACCGTAGTGGACCCAGATCCTTAACAATTATACTTAAAACAGTACTTCTTTATACTTTTTGTAATTTTTTCTGTTTCTGATCTTTTCCTCCTTTTTTCAGTTACACTGTATTTGTTCAGATAAATAATACACATAAAGGGAATAGTCCACTAAAAATCAAGCTGTTCACTTGCTGCTATCAGACTTCACTTTCAACATATATTTTTTGTAATATTTCTCTCTCTTATATATGTTTTTAAAGTGTCTTGGTGTTCTCAAGTCAAACTTATTCCACACATTAACCCCAACAACAGAAATACTATGCTGCTTTACTTGGGCTCTTACTTTCATTTTTAAAAACATATCTCAGTATGATCAGGGAATTGATTGTTCTGTGGTTAGATGTGCTTTGCTCAGTTTGCACTTCTCTGACTCCTCTTGTGTTTCAGGATCACTGCGTTTGTGGTGAAGGTCTTCTCCATGGCTCACTCCATCATAGGAGTGGAGGAGCAGCAGGTGTGTGAGCCTCTACTGTATCTGCTCCAACACCGACACAAGCCAGAGCGTAGTGTGTTCATAGAGGAGAACCCGGTCTACAGCACCACCATGACGGTACTGCACCCATGGCACCCTCACCATCCTCTGACCCTCTCCTCGTACCTCGGCTCCATCTGAGCTTCTCTGCATCCTCAGCTCCATCTGACCCTCTCCTCTGCTCCTCTCCTCCATCTGACCCCCTCCTCCATCTTCTCCTCTCCTCCATCTGACCCTCTCCTCCATCTGCTCCTCTCCTCCATCTGACCCTCTCCTCCATCTGACCCTCTCCTCCATCTGACCCTCTCCTCCATCTGACCCTCTCCTCCATCTGACCCTCTCCTCCATCTGCTCCTCTCCTCCATCTGACCCTCTCCTCCATCTGACCCTCTCCTCCATCTGACCCTCTCCTCGGCTCCTCTGACTCTCTCCTCTGCTCCTTGCTCCTTGTTCCTCGGCTCCATCCGAGCTTCTCTGCATCCTCTGCTCCATCTGAGCCTCTCGTCTGCACCCCTTGACCCTCTCCTTTACATCATCTGACCTTCTTCTCTGCTAGTCCATCTCTGCACTATAATCACTTAAATGTCTAATCAGTTGTTTTATGATTGTTTTTTTTTAGGGCGGTCTCCGTGGTGATGACCCCCAGGTGACCCTCACGGCGTTCGTCTTGATCGCTTTGGCTGAAGCGAAGGAAGCCAAGATCCACTGCAGTGAGGCCAGAGTCAACACAGAGGTGAAGAGCTTTACGAGACATGGTTTGACTGCACAGACCAGTGCATAGTGTTGTTGTGCTCTTGAACACTTCACCTCTGGCTGAATGTGCTGTGTGAGAGGCTCTAGGAGTTAGACAGATTGTTTGTACCTATGGACAAAGAAGCTTTTGTCAGATAGCATAGTGGCAGTAAATGCATTTTAGTACACTAAGAAAATGTACTGAAAATATGTGTCTCATATAAAAACAACATGTTAAGATAAGGTTTTAATGTGTCTGTTAGGGTTGTCAAAATATTGAAAATCAGATACTAATCAATACTAGAATTAGGGCTGTCGCAGTTAGGGAATTTCTCCTGCTGCTCAACAGCACGGTATACAATGATAGCGCACGTGGAGCAGGGTGTCCATAAAGTGAGATCGGGCAACAGCTGCACTTACCTCCATGTGGCGCGGAGCGCTACACGACGGTCCTTTCGCCTGCGGTCACCCGACGGTCTACACGGGTGCACCTTAGTCCTGGGTTAGTCCTGGGTTAGTCCTGGGTTAGTCCTGGGTTAATCCTGGGTTAGTCCTGGGTTAGTCCTGGGTTAGTCCTGGGTTAATCCTGGGTTAGTCCTGGGTTAATCCTGGGTTAGTCCTGGGTTAATCCTGGGTTAGTCCTGGGTTAATCCTGGGTTAGTCCTGGGTTAGTCCTGGGTTAGTCCCGGGTTAATCCTGGGTTAATCCTGGGTTAGTCCTGGGTTAGTCCTGGGTTATCATGGGCATGAGTGGTAACTGGTGGAATGTTAACGTGTACGGGTGGGTGCGGGTCTCCAAAAATGGACCCGTGCAGGACTCTGGGTCGGGCCACGTTGGTCTCGTGCAGTGATCGCGGTCGCCCAACAAGCACCGCGGTGGGCCTCTTAGTACCGCAGTGATTTTTGCAGTTATTGCAACAGGTAACAACTGGTATCAAAACTACATACTCAGTTGAGCAAGGATCAGTACTAAAAATTCACATTCACAGAACAGAAATAAATGATTTCTGAATAGTTTTAGAATGCATATAGACTAATATATGCCCACGGCACGGACCACCATGGAACCTACCTGGACCACTGAGGGATTACACACATAAAACCATATAAAAGTACTACACTACAAATTTGTCTGGTCTGGCTAAAATTTTAAGACTTATATCAGGTGATTCACCTTGTTTTCAGGTTTATGATCTAGTTACTAGTTCTGAATTGGTCAAAAAATCTTAAATTTAGGTAATAAATGTTTAAAAGAAGCTACAATCCATTTACCAGAGTTTTAGATTCAGTGCTACATACAAGACTGACTACTAACTACTATCATGTAAGTCTAATTTCAAGTACTTCTATCTAGAATTTAGCATCTTTGAATTTATTATCAGATCATGAACACTAATCATAAACTGGTTTTAAGTCTGTTTATCTCAAAGTTAGTATTCAAAAACTTATTTCCAGCCCATGAGCACTTACCAGAGACTGCTTCATTCTAGTCTACAAGTCATTTATTTTAAGGTAACATGTCAAGTGAAATGATCTCGCTGCATGGACAGATCATTTCACTACTTTAAAGTTATTTTCTGATAGATTTAAGTGTTTATATCTTATATTTGGCCAAGCTTTTTTGCAGTGTATGATTTACTATTGAAAATCACACTCAGTTGTCTTAATAAAGTGTTTTTATTATCATCCTGATATCGGAATCAATATTGAGTATTGAGTGTATTCCTTAGTTACTCAAAATCAAGTTTGATATTTCAGTATCGTGACAGCACTAGTGTCTACAGGACTGTAACTCTGTGTGTATCCTCAGGCGGTGATCCGTAACACAGCAGCCTACCTGAAGAAGGCGCTGCAGGTCACACGGCGCCCGTACACTGTGGCCATCGCATCGTACGCTCTGGCTCTGCTCAAGGACCAGGTGGACTTCAACCCAACACCAGCGCTGCTCAGAGCCTCCTCTGCTGGTACACTCACACACACTCAGTTAAGATGAACTTGAATTAAGAAAGTTTGATCATGATTTGAACTTTCACTTGACAAGTCAAATGATCTGCCAGTGGAACAAGACTTTTTGTACTTAAAATATGAAACTACATCTTACTACACTTAAGATAAGAAAAACAACAACTTTTTGCACTTAAAATAACAAACAAAATCTAATGTTACTTGAATTAAGAAAAACACACTTATTCCATTGGTCGATCATTTTACTTGTCAAGTTGAATCAACTCAAATAAAGTCAAATGTTCTTAATTTAAGTCATTTTAATTTATAGATAGTGTTTTTTTTCCAGTGTGGTCCCGTGCCACTCCACAGTTTGCACGTTGGACCTTGAATCTGTGTGGATAGCAAATGAAAATAATTGAACCCTGATGCCTCCATATTTTTAGAACTGTGCAATTATTAAAAAGACCATATTACACTATTTTCACATCTATGTCAGAATGTTGTGATGTCATGTGGCAATACAGGAAGTGCTCCGCAGTGTTTTTAAACTCCACACACCTTCATTAGAATCATTTGGATCATTTCAGCCTTGGAATTGCCGATCTCTACTGAACTAAAAGATGTAGACAGATAAAAGCTTCACTCAAATAAAATGTGAATGAAACAAAACAACTCCAAGTATATTTTTAATGAGGTAACAACATAATAACATGGCTCAAGTTTGCGTAATGTAGGGCTTTTAATCACATTTAATCAAGAAAACACAGAGGAGGGACACTTTTATCCTGAGGGCTGTTACTCTCCTCAGACTGCCCTGACAAAGGACCTGATGACTCGACCTGCAGTATTGTAAAACACTATTACGGAACATTACCCTTAGTTGAATCCCTGTTGCTGTGTCCAGGTGGCAGTCAGTGGGTGGACAGTGAGAATCACCTCTTCACTCTGGAGGCCACAGGCTACGCTCTGCTCACTCTGCTCAAGATGAACGCCATGACAGAGGCCGCTCCACCGTTTAAATGGTTAAACAGCCAACGCAGGCAGGGAGGGGGCTACGGGTCCACTCAGGTGTGTCAGATGCCCTCCCGTCCTCCTATGTACCTGTGTGTCAGATGCCCTCCCATGCTCCTCTATGCTCCCCTGTATTTTTAGGTATACAGGAGGTCAGATGTCTCTATTTCATCTGCAGTTTGTCTGTGTTTTGGTTTTGTTGGACAGATAATAATAATAATAAAAATCTATGTTCTCTCACATGTCTGCAGCCCACAGTGGTGGTTCTCCAGGCCTTGTCCGAGTACCTGATCAAACAGCCACCTTCACAAAACCTAGATCTGAACGTGGACGTCCGAATGGGAGCTCGCACAATTCCATATTATTTCAACCCAGACACCTCCTACGCAGCCCGCACAGCCCGGGTAAGAGCCAGAGGAACAGAGATCAGAGCAGAGAGCAGAGACCAGAGAGAGAGACCAGAGGAGCAGAGGCCAGAGGAGCAGAGACCAGAGGAGCAGAGACCAGAGGAGCAGAGACCAGAGCAGAGACCAGAGGAGCAGAGGCCAGAGGAGGGATAGTGAATTTATGGTACAGAGAAGAGTAGAAGGAGGCTGAGGTTAGGAAGCAGGAGTCCTAGAGGAAGACCAAAGACGAGATTTAAGGATGTAGTGGAAGACGACATGTTACCTGGATACGAAAGGGTCAGACGGAGCAGAGGAGATTATCAGATGGAGCAGAGGAGAGGGTCAGAGGAGAGGATCAGATGGAGCAGGACAGGGTCAGATGAGCAGGAGAGGGTCAGATGATGGTCAGTATAAATGCATATATTTCTTTTCATTTTGTATTCACAGCTTCTTAACAATGTGGATCTGGAGGTGCAGGCTCGAGGGAATGGACAGGGAATCCTTGAGGTGAGTTTGTGACTTTTAAAGCAGAACTGTTGTTCTTGTGTCTGCTATACAGTTATAATCTATGACACCTATGGATCATTATGTAATAATGTGAACTCTTTAAATCACAATATTCATTTAAAACAACTTAATAAAATAATTAATGACTTAGAGTTAGTACTAGAAAACGACAGTGCCCAACGGGAGCTGACATCACTGCAAACATCACAACAAAGAGCTGTGCAGCTGTTGGCTCCTAATATGTTCAGCTGCACATCACGGTTGTGACTCTGCTGAATCATTCGCCTTTCAGAGATTGAGAAAATAAAATTGTAAAACTAAGTAAGTATTGAGCAGTGGGTGTGACACCTGACATCTGTGTCACCTGCTCTTCCTCTGTGTGGCCTGTAGGTGGTGACCTACTACAACCAGCTTCACGAGGTGGAGGAGAAGACGCCTTGTGTTCACTTTGAGCTTGAGGTCACAGTGGAGGAATCAGCTGGTCAGTACAAACTCTATAAACATGGTTCATTTTAAACAGGACAGTGAGGATTTTTAATGTATTTGATATTTGAACAGAAAAGTCTTCTCCTGATGTGGTCAAGTCCTACCTCATGACCATCAAAGTCCTGTGAGTCCTACCAAATCAAACAGTCACTTATTTCATTAGCTCTCTCCTTTCATGGCTCAAGCATCACTGGTTTGTTTCCTGTGCCGCCTCTGCTGGAATTGAGTAATTATTTACCTTAAAGGATCTTTAAAGGATCTCATCATCTTCTCATCTTTGTTTTAATGTTGTTTCCTCATCACAAACAGACCTGGACTTGTGTTTTGTTTTATTCACTCATGTTTAACACACTAACCCTGCATATTTAGGCTGAGTTCTTCTCTCAAACTGAAAACCCACTGTTCCACCTTATGATGTCATGTGACAGGAAGTGCTCCACTGTGTTTTTAAACTCCATACACCCTCACAAGGATTATTTGGATGATTTCAGTTAAATTGCCAATCTCTACTGAACTAAAGGTAAAAATCACTGTGAACTTGAAAACTACCACTTCATGACATCACAAGGTAAAACAGAACACTGAGCTTCAGAGATGTAGACAGACTAATAATAAAGTGTTACTGAAACATGTGTGAATGAAACAAAACACAACTCCAGGTTTGTTTTGAAGAGGTAACAGAATTTTAACATTAAATCTCACATGAGTTAATTTTCCATAATATAGCACCTTTAAATGTTGCACAATATGGCATTACTTTATCTATCTCCATGGAAACAAGCAGTTGATGCCACTAAACTGATCTGTAGACAGGAGAGCCCACTCACTGTTAAATATGTTTTTCAAGTTTATTTATTTATTTATTTTTTATTAATTTACTTATTTTTTTTATATAAAAGAAAATTAGCTGTAATGGAATAAAACAAGCCAGGTTAGTTAATGCCAGGCTGTGGAACATTGGAGACAATTATCCATTTGGTGACAGCCAGGGAAATGAACATTTCAGTAAGTTTTTTTTTAAATCTGTATTATTTGTCTTGGTTTTTCATGCCTCTTGTGTCACAGGGCACTAGGACCCAGAGACGTGCGGATGGTGGTGCTGGACGTGAGTCTGCCCACAGGCTTCACTCCAGACAACACAGACCTCGACATGGTAACAATATACTCATACTTCAACTACTCTAAGTACTGCAAATACTTTCCCTTCAAAGGAGCAAACAGGAACTGTCATTTAGTCTAAGTATGAACAGATACATTTAGAAGCCACAGCTGCTCAGAGACAGTCTGAGAGAAACATGACTGCCATCATGTGCCTGTAGTCTCTGCCCTATTTGGACCCTTGGAGGTCCAGTTTTTACTCTTTAAAATTTAAGTTTACTTAGTAGTAGTAGTAGTAGTAGTAGTAGTAGTAGTAGTAGTAGTAGTAGTAGTAGTAGTAGTAGTAGTAGTAGTAGTAGTAGTAGTAGTAGTAGTAGTAGTAGTAGTAGTAGTAGTAGTAGTAGTAGTAGTAGTAGTAGTAGTAGTAGTAGTAGTAGTAGTAGTAGTAGTAGTAGTAGTAGTAGTAGTAGTAGTAGTAGTAGTAGTAGTAGTAGTAGTAGTAGTAGTAGTAGTAGTAGTAGTAGTAGTAGTAGTAGTAGTAGTAGTAGTAGTAGTAGTAGTAGTAGTAGTAGTAGTAGTAGTAGTAGTAGTAGTAGTAGTAGTAGTAGTAGTAGTAGTAGTAGTAGTAGTAGTAGTAGTAGTAGTAGTAGTAGTAGTTAGTAGTAGTTAGTAGTAGTAGTAGTAGTAGTAGTAGTAGTAGTAGTAGTAGTAGTAGTAGTAGTAGTAGTAGTAAGTAGTAGTAAGTAGTAGTAGTAGTAGTAGTAGTAGTAGTAGTAGTAGTAAGTAGTAGTAGTAGTAGTAGTAGTAGTAGTAGTAGTAGTAAGTAGTAGTAGTAGCAGTAAGTAGTAGTAGTAAGTAGTAGTAGTAAGTAGTAGTAAGTAGTAGTAAGTAGTAGTAGTAGTAGTAGTAGTAGTAGCAGTAGTAGCAGTAGTAGCAGTAGTAGTAGTAGTAGTAGTAGTAGTAGCATCAGTTCGGTAATTAACAGTAAAAATAAACCTGTCAAATTGTGATTGTTTTTTGTTTTGCAGCTTTCTAACTCAGTGGACAAATACATCGCAAACTTTAAAGTGGTGGACAACCTGAGTGACAGAGGCTCCCTGATCCTGCACTTGTTTAAGGTGCTCACAATGTTTCATACTGGTTTAAAGGTTCTATAGTACGTCAAATTAAGCTTTAAACTGTTGTTAACTTCCCAGAAACATTCCTGGAGTTGTTTTGTTTCATTCACACATGTTTAAGTAATCCTTTATTATTAGTCTGTCTACATCTCCAAAGCTCAAAATGCTCTGTTCCACCTCATGATGTCATGAAGCACTAGTTTTCAAGTTAACAGCTTCTTTTACCTTTACATCAGTAGAAATTGGAAATTCGTAGTCGTAGCAACAACAGCAGTAGTAGTAGTAGTAGTAGTATTAGTATTAGTAGTTGTAATGGTACTAGCAGTAGTATGAAATATACACTAAGTATTAGGGCCCAACTGATATATCGGTTGGCTGATATTATCCGCTGATATGGGCACCTGGAAACATATTGGCTATTGGCCGATATGTTTGCCAATATGCTGATATTTCACGTGGGCATGTTATACGTCGTTATAAAGCTTAGACTCTCTACATTCTGTTCATTTAATCCAATTTACAGACAGATAAATGTCCTAATATGTGGCTCCGCATCAGTATTTATCTGTGGAGTCATTTGTCTGTGTGTGTGTCCGTACTGTCCCTGAACACACCACAGAGTCACGTCACTCACGTGTGTTTGTTTACACCCGCAGACATAGATCCAAACACTTAGATTATATTCTTTTTACGGACAAACGGTTTGAGTCTGGATTAAAAGGACATTTATTAGTGCAGACTTGTGATGTGAGGAGGAGCCTGTGAGCGGTGAGTGTTGGAAATATGTCGACTTTGACGCTAGTTTTGGTTCTTTCTCATTGGTTAGCGATTAGCTGCTGTAGCTCCCACACATAAACAGGCTGTTTTCTATTGGTCTATTGTAAAGTGACTATATTGGCTGTATATTTGTTACTGGACCAGCGGCGCGCAGCATTTACGGCTAAAGGCTAATAGCGGTAGTTTCTTTACTAGCTAGTAGTGATGGGGTCGGTCGCGAACGAAGCGGCTCTTTGAAGCGCCTGCTCCTTATTGGGAGCCGTATTTTCTCTTTCTCTTACTTTTTTCTCTTCACGCCGCGTGCAGACTCGTGGTAGTTTGACAGCGGCAGCAGCTGAAAATGGAATTTTCAGAAATCTGCGTGTGCATAGGATAAAAAATATGTGCACATTTTGATGTAGTTCAGCATAAAATGAATAAACCAGGACTAATCTTGGGCTCGAGAGACCGAGAGAGATAGAGACCGAGTCCCGACACTCAGTCCTGGTTCAGTCCTGGTTCAGTTCTGTTTTACACATGGATTAGATCTGTTTTAGTCCTGGTTTAGTCCTTTTTCAGTCCTGGTTCAGTTCTGGTTTAGTCCTGGTTGCAACAAAACAACCTTAAGAGCCGCTTGGGAGCCGAAAGAGCCGTCTGCTTTTAGTGAGCCGAGCCAAAAGAGCCGGTTCTCTAAAAAGAACTGGAATACCCATCACTAGTAGTTAGAATGTGATGCAAAAATGCCATTAGTTCAACCTAGTGTCTGTAAATATGACTTAAAGGGGCAGAATAACAATAAATGTTGTCTAAATAAACTCATTTTAAAATCAACTAGAGCCATACCTAAGTTTTTTAAACAACTAAAGATTTGCAGTGAATTTTTACATCACTAAATATATCGGTGATTATATTGGCTATTGGCAGCTTCAACTCCCATTTTATCGGTATCACATCAGCCGCAACAAAATCTATATTGGTCGGGTCCTAGTAAGTATTAACTGTTATAGTAGTAGTAATAATCTATGTTTTTTTTTTTTTTATCTCAGGTTTCGCACAAAGAACCGGAGATCGTGATTTTCAAACTCCAGCAGAACTTTAAAGTGGGACACATTCAACCCTCCTCCGTCACCGTGTACGAGTACTACAACCCAGGTAAATACTCCAATCCAATACTGCTATCCAGAGAGACAAGGAATCTAACCCACAACCTCCTCACTGTTTTGCAGACCACCGGTGCAGTCGTTCGTTCACTCCCAGAGAAAACACAGAGGAGCTGACTCAGATCTGCTCTGGGAACGTCTGCAGATGCACTCAAGGTCAGGGCTCAGGCTTGGGCTGCACAATTCACTGGACAAAATGTAACTGCAAGTTTTTTGACAAGTATTGTCAAATACAGTACAAGAGTTAGATGTGCGATATGTTTGGAACTATATGTAAGATTTAAATGTTTAAACCTGACCTGTCTGTGTGCCCAGACACAAGTTAAACATGTTCAAATCAAACATCACTTTGACTGAGAACTACTGTAATGCTAATCTATTCTTTATTACAAAAACATTCATATAATACTGTGTTATAATTTGGTGTTTTGGTTCTCAAGATTATTAACCAATCAGAAAGCAGAATGAGCCTCACATGAGTCTCTGCAGCTGCTAGTGCAGCCTCTGCAGCTTCGATATCAGCTGTGCTCAGTCAAATAGTGACTTTTCTCTGATTATGTTTTTGTTTGAATGGGATGCTCAGGTTTATAATGTCTCTGAGGTGTGATGTTTCCCTGTGTCCTCCAGGAGACTGCTGTGTCCCAAAGGAAGACTCTGAGAACTTGTCAGACAAAGCCCGCGAGACGTTTGCCTGCACCACTCTGCACCACGGTACCACACGCTAACACACTATCACACTATCACACTATCACACTACAACACTAACACACTATCACACTACACTCACACTACACACACTACACACACACTAACACACTACTAACACACTTACACTAACACACTAAACACACTACACTAACACACTACACTACACACACACACTAACACACTACACTACACACTAACACACTAACACACTATCACACTAACACACTACACTAACACACTAACACACTACACACTACACTACACTACACACTACACTAACACACTAACACACTAACACACTAACACACTAACACACTAACACACTAACACACTAACACACTAACACACTCACACTAACACACTACTACACTAACACACTAACACACTAACACACTAACACACTACTACACTAACACACTACTAACACACTACTACACTAACACACTAACACACTACACTACACACTCACACTAACACACTAACACACTAACACACTCACACTAACACACTAACACACTACACACTAACACACTATCACACTATCACACTAACACACTAACACACTACTACACTAACACACTACTACACTAACACACTAACACACTAACACACTAACACACTACTACACTAACACACTAACACACTACTACACTAACACACTAACACACTACTACACTAACACACTACACTACACACACTAACACACTAACACACTAACACACTAACACACTAACACACTAAACACACTAACACACTAACTACCACACTACCACACTAACACACTAATACCACACTAACACACTAACACACTAATACCACACTAACACACTACTACACTAACACACTAACACACTGACACACTACTACACTAACACACGAACACACAAACACACAAACACACAAACTCTAATTGAACTAAACATGATTGTTGTGCTTTTCACGCTGCATTTGACCCTTTAACATTCCTAGAGGGTGCCAGGTTTATACTGATAATACTGATAATATTCCTTTTCCTGTTGCTCAAAGTCATCAGTGCTGGTAAGAGGCTCGGGTAAACACAGGAATTAAAGTCTGTGTTTGAAGAGACGTGCACCATTATATTGGGCTGAATGACCCAAATGCACAAGCAGAATTTTTTGGCCCCACATTTCAGGAAATGACACCCCTGCCCCCACTGCTTTCAGAACTACCTGCTACAAAATCATGCCTAGAGAGCCAGAAGAGCTAGAGAAAGCACATGGGTCAAGGACTGCAGACCTGGACTGTACTTGAACTGTACTTGGACTGTATTTGGACTGTAATTGGACTATACTTGGACTGTACTTGAACTGTACTTGGACTGTACTTGGACTGTATTTGGACTGTATTTGGACTGTACATGGACTGTACTTGGACTGTACTTGGACTGTACTTGGACTATACTTGGACTGTATAAAGCCTGCCTCTGCTCTCTTACTCACACTGTTGTTTTTCTTGTTTCAGTGTTCAAAGTGAAAGTGCTGAGTGCGACCGAGAGTTACTATGACAAATACGAGCTGCAGATCACACAAGTCATCAAACTGGGTACGAGTCTCCGCCCCTCTGTTCATAACTCGTTAAAGTGCATATGACAGTTGTTCATGTCTAATTCTGACTTGGTGTGGTGGGATTGTACCTGTGGTCAATATTCATCAGTATTACATGAGTACATCAGTACATACTCTCTTCCATATGTTGGATGGAGTTTTCCATGTTGAAGACAACTCAGTGCTGTTCTATGTATTTTTTTTTCTTTACTTTTTCATTTTTCCTCCCACAAACTGCCACTTGACTGATGTAAAACAATAATCCATATTTAGCTCAGGTACAGTGAGAATGATAAAGCCATGGAAAGCTCTCGTCTGCACTTTACGCCTGAGTGAGGCGCGTTCACTTCAACTGTGTCCCTTTAGGAGCTGAGGCGGGGATTCTGGCCGGACAGAGCCGGACCTTCCTGTCTCATGGAGCCTGCAGAGACAGACTCAAGCTGGTCCCAAACCAGGAGTACCTCATCATGGGCCCCAAAGACGACCAGTGGAACATCGACAGCGCCACCAACAGGTAATTGTATTTATATTACTATATTTGTATTTTTTTACTTTACCTGTACATGTATACATTTATATATTTATGTCTTATTTGACACAAGTCTCTTGCTATTTTTGCTACTTATTTAGAATTTATTATTATTACAATTTATATTGTTGTTCTTTGTTATTATAATATATCGTGATGGGTGAGTGACTGCACTTCCTGTATTACTGTATTACTACATGACATCACAAGGTGGAACAAAGTGTTTTATGTTTGAGAGAAGAACTCAGTCTAAATATGCAGGGTTTGTGTGTTAAACCCGAACCCAGATCATGATTTGTGATGAGGAAACAACATTAGAACATAGATCAGAAAAGAGAATCATCTGGGGCCTTTAAAGGAGCTGTATGTAACCTGCCCTCTTACTGTTTCAAAAGGATACTAGAACAGAACACTACATGTGATACCATTGTTTGTGGAGTCCCACAGGGATCAGTGCTAGGCCCCAAATCATTTCTTTTATATATAAACACCTTGTAATTAGTTTCTGAAAAACTTAAAATTTAAAAGCAATACAAATTGCTCACTTAGTTGGATATAGAGAACATACGAATGCACTTCTTTGTCAATCAAAGATACTGAAATTTGGGGACCTGGTAAAATTTAAAACATGTCAAATCTTATTGAAAGTGAAACTCACCCTGCTCCCAGATAACAACATGTTCAACATAGCATTCATCATTGAATTAATTCAAATACAACCTGAGAAATTAATTTTAATAAACAATTCTCTCGACTAGAACCACTAGACGTGGAGTAGAATATCTTAGACGACCATATCAAAGCGTGTACTAACTTGGTGCACTTCAAAAAACTATATAAAAATCAAATCTTACTTCTTGCCTAAACCACGACTATTAACTAAACACATGCTTTTCTTTAACATTACCTTTTATTTTGATATGATCATAAATTATTAGTTTGTATGACCATAAACAGAGGGGGGGATCCTTACATTTTTAATTCTCATTACTGTTTATTTTGTACATTCATAAACGATAAACTTTGTGCCTTCTTTATCATTATTATTAGTTTGTACGACCATAAACGAAAATATATTTGTGTGTGTGTGTATATATGTGTTATGCATATGTATGTATGTGTATATATATTGAATACATGTACTGAATATTTTAAATGCGTGTGTGTGTGTGTGTGTGTGTGTGTGTGTGTGTGTGTGTGTGTGTGTGTGTGTGTGTGTGTGTGTGTGTGTGTGGGTGTGGGTGTGGGTGTGGGGGTGTGTCTGTGTGGGCGTGTGTATTTATGCAATGCATACGACAGGTAAGCACCCCAAAGGTGTAAAAAAATTAATAAAAATTTATGTAAAACAATTGGAATAGCACACTATAAGTTTTTTAAACTTCATTCTACTCTTTTTGAGCACCAGGTCCCAAACATGTGCATGTACATATCCTTGTTATTGTTGTTGTACATTGCTCAAACAAATAAAATGAATGAATGAATGAGAATCACACCTGAACCTGTGTCCCCAGAGCCTTATTTGTTTAATGTTTGTTCATTATTCAAAGACTATGTTAATGTATGCTGAATGTACTCCCCCTGGTGGTAGTTTGGTGGTCTCCTGTATTTGTGTTGACTACACTTTACTCCCTCTTGTGGCAGGTACGTGTATCTGCTGGGTAAGAACACGTGGGTGGAGCGATGGCCGTCTGAGGAGGAGTGCAGCGCCTCCCTCAGGCAGAAGTGTGAGAGTCTGAACGCTATGGCCAACGAGCTGTCCACGAACGGATGCCGACTGTAACTACGCAGTGTCCCTGAACGCACCACCACTGGAGCTGTCCAATCACTCTGTGTTATTATTATTATTACACAAATAATACAAAAAAATATTACACTTTTTTGAGCTGTCTACCATGTTAAAAAAGTTGTACCCTCATCAAAAACATGTCTGAAAAGATTTTACATCATCATCCATACTTGTTTGTCTAATATTGTGATCTCTCCTGAGATTTATTTGGCTCCTCTAATTATTGTATCTGATTACTCTAGTGATCTGACTTTACTGGACATGTACGTGGACCCACTATCTGTATTGGTTTCGGTTCATTGGTGCATTTCTTGAAATCTGTAAAATGTCATTGTTTCAGTCGACAAAACACTTAAAATGTTTATTTGATTTAGAATGATTTTGTTTGTATTTATTTCAGTGATTTTGACTTGGCTTTTCGGCTTTATGAGACAGCACAGTAGAACCACAGTGCAATGAAGGGTTTATGGGTAAAACTAAAATCTGACATACAGTCAAAGAGAAAATAAAGTGGACACCAAGTAGTGAAGGGTCTTTTGGCTCTTTTATGGGAGCCGAATCTTTTGGATTGATACATTTCATATATGAAAGAAGCCAGTGTGAAAACTCATTTTACCTACAAACTAATCACAGAGAAAATACCAAGGCTCAGATCTGTTTGAAATGGTTCAAACTGAGAGTGGAAGTGTGTTTACCCTTTGAAACGATGAATAACCTCTGTCTGATCTGTTCTCATTAGAAGAGTCTGATTTACTCTCATTAGAAGAGTCTGATCTCGTCTCATAAGTGGGAACAAGCTCCATACAACATAAACGTTCTCTGGGTGACTTTTCATTTGTTGTTTTGGAGACAAATGGTAAATGGTAAATAGCCCTCACACTGAGGCAAAGGTCCTATTTTACACAAAATGGACTCTTGTGATTTTAAAACCATGCAGACTGGACTAGACCAGAGACTAGACTGGGTACTATAGACCAAGACCTAGATCAAGAACTAGACCATACACCAAACCAGGCTCTATCTAGACAAGAGCTCAGACCACAACCCAGACCAGATTAGACCAGAGACCAGACAAGGGAATAAAGACCATTTACCAAAAGTTAGACCAGAGTCCACCATACGAGTCCAAACAAGACCACAGACCTAAACCTGACTGGACCAGGCTGGGATTACTCCAGGGACCACACAGAGTATTAGGCCAGAAAACAAGAGACCAGACCAGACACCTGACCGATAGGCCAGACCAGAGCCCTGACCACACCCAGAGACCAGACCCAGAGGCCAGGCCCGTAGACTTGTCCAGAGACCTGACCAAAGACTAGACCAAGGACCAGAGTCCAGACCTTACTGGTACTAGTCTTGAGCTAGTCCACACTTCACTTCTAGACACCAGACCATAGTGGACTGTCTGATTATCAGGATCAATTTACATTCCAGAGTCCAGAGAAGAATAAGAGAGAGACTAGAATCCTACCCCCAGACCAAAGTCCACTTTGGAGTTCAAACAAGACCAGAGATCAAGACCAGACTACAGCAGGACTACGGTGGGACTACAGCAGGACTATGCGGGGTAGACTAGAGTCCGTACCCATCTAGAGTCCCAAACTATAATTTGGACTATAACCAAGAGTTACATCAGAGTCCAAACTGGGGTCCAAACAAGACCTAATCTGGACCGGATATGGGTGGGACTTCAGAAGATCTACGGGTTAGACCATAGTCTAGACCCATCTAGACTCATAGGCCAGAGTCCAGACTACAGTGGGGCAAGACCCTGGTCCACATCCCAGACTGGAGCTAGGACTACAGCGGCACTAGACCCTGGCCCAGATCCCAGATCTGAGTTTGGACTTTGATCCCTTGAGGTGCCATGGTGAGGTGGAGGTTCTTCCTGGAGGTTTTTCTGTGCCTCTGGTGCTCTGTGAACGCACAGTGAGTACTTTCATCTGTTTATTTAAAAGAAAATTCTGATTTTCACATTTCTAACTCCTTTTTTTTTTTTTTTCCAGAAATTGGCGAGACAGGTAAGTTCTTCAATTTACTGCTACTGCTACTATTACTGCTACTGCTACTGCTAGTACTACTACTACTACTACTACTACTATTACTGCTACTTCTGCTGCTACAGCTACTACTATTATTACCACTACTACTGTTTCCAGAAGTGGGTAAATGGTAGTCAAGTGGTCCATGAAATTAGTCACATAAGAGTAAAAAGTATTTGGGAAAACTGCTAAAGTAAAAGTAATATTTTGAAGTGAATGTAATTTGAAGGACAAAACATGAAATAAAGTACAAAATCTGGTGTTTTCAAAGGACAGATGCAAAAGGCGACAAACTAAATCATATCTGAAGGAGCGCTGCAAGAAACACCAATGTAATTTCATATTTTCAGTATAAAGCTTTTGTCACTTGTACTTACTCACAGTGTAAGAGTACTGTTACCTCAAATAAAATATTACTCAAGTAGGAGGAAAAGTGTGTCGCTAGTACAATTTCTTTAAAAAGTTACTGAAATAGATGTAACTGAGTACTGAGTACAACTGTTTCTACTACATTAATGATCAGTTTTTTTAATATTTAAAAAAGTGCCGTGTTCTTTTCCAAACAAAGGTTTGTAGTAATAATTTTGCACCTTTGTGGTTATCTCTACAGTCCAACAGGGCTGTCAAAAGTCTTGAAAATCAGATACTCATTTGAACAGGCACTGATACTAAAAAAAGTCCCATTCACAGGAGAGAAATGAACCTTTCCTGAGTCGCTTTAGAATGATTTTGAGCTGTAGACTATTATACACCCATGGACCACTATGGAACCTACCTGGACCCTGAGGTATTACACACATATAAGACCACATGGGAATAGAAAAAAAGTACTATGATTTAATGTTGAAAATCACATTCTATTGTCTACAAAGAGTTTTTTTTTTTTTTAATGTTATTGTTTTTTTTTTTCTTTGTGGTTTCACAATCGTATTGAGTACAGTATCAAGTATCAAGTGTACTCCTTAGTGGAAATTGAGTTTGACATCTTAGTATTGTGAAAACAACACAGTCCAACAAGTTTTTTTTTTTTTTTTTTTTTTTGCACATTTGTCATCAATTGTTTAACAAACACCTGAACTATATTATTCTATAATTTTCAGATTTGAGCCTTTTGAGCGCCACCTACAACATTCCAGGTAACCAGAGACCAAACACCACACGCCAGACCAGAGACCAGAAACTAGACCAGAGACCAGACCAAAGACTAGAAATCAGAGACCAGACCAGAGACCAATCGAGAGACAGAAGACCAGTCCAGAGACCAGAGACTAGAACAGAGAACAGAGATCAGCACCAGCAACAGCAGAACAGGGACCAGCCAAGAGACCAGAGAAACCAAAGACTAGAAAGTATAGACCAGAGAGCAGATGAGAGATCAGACTAGACCAGAAGAGAGACTAGAACAGACCAGAGACCAGACCAGACCTAACGACCACAGACATGTTTAATAATAGCAATAAATGTATAACTTATATTTAAAACATAAAAAGTGCATAAGATGTGACACATAAAAGAGTAATGTAAAAAGTCTATGTTTACAAAGTGCACTGTCCTAAGTTTATTCTCTTCATAATTCTGTGTTTTTGTTGCAGACGTCCGGATGAGATCGGCACTGGTCCCCGGTAAAGTTCTCATTTTTGAAATAATTGAAACAATATAACAAAAAATATATATTTACACCAGATCTACTCTGCAAAATGGACTTTTCAGAGCTTTCCTTGTCCTCGTCTAGTCCAGGTTTAATCCCAGTGTAGGGGTCAGTCGGTCGTGTGTGTGTGAAATATTTGCTTTTGGAAAAGTGGAGTTTTGGGGCCAAGGTCCAGAGATTTCATCAGACAAAAAACTCACGACTCTCACTTTGGATTACCACTGCTTGTACTATTACTTTTACTATTATTAGTACTACAACCACTACTAGTCCTGATTCACTCCTTATTTAGTCTTGGGTTTAGTCCTGGTTTAGTCTTTGTACAGTCCTGGTTTAGTCCTGGTTCAGCCTTGGTTTAGTCCTAGTCTAGTCCTGATTCAGCCCTTGTTTAGTCATGGTTTAGTCCTGGTTCAGTCCTGGTTTAGTCCTGGGTTAGTTCTAGTCTAGTCCTGGTTCAGCCCTGGTTTAGTCGAGGTCTAGTCCTGGTTCAGTCCTGGTTTAGTCCTGGTTCAGTCCTGGTTTAGTCCTGGTTCAGTCCTGGTTTAGTCCTTGTTTGGTCCTGGTATAGTCCTGGTTTACCCTGAGTCCTCTCTTGGTTGCAGGTTCAGAGTCCTTGCTCCAGACGTGCTCAGAGCAGACAGTGAGGAGAATGTGGTTCTTCAGGCCGATGGGGTCTCTGGTGCGGTCCCGGTCTCCATCCAGGTCTGGGACTTTGGACGGAGCAGCGTCCTTACACAGACCTACGCCACCCTGAGCCAGGACAATAAATACCACATGGTTCACAGTATACGGGTGAGTCCTGCTTTAGTTATCGTTTAGTTCTATTTTAGTCCTGGTTTAGAATGGATACCACATGCTTACTCAGCATAAGGGTGAGACCTGGTTGTCTTGGTCAAGTCAAAAAGCTCTCAAAACTATTCTGTATCTCTATGAATTTGACCAAAACTGCAAAAAAAAGTACTAGGAAATGATGTATTTAAAGATAGATTGAACTCTTTTTACATATAGGCTTAAATACTAAGATATACCAAATCTTCAGCCAACACACTCACTCACTTCTCCATTCTGCTGTTGTCCCATAGAAAGCCTTTATTATCTAAATACGACTTAAGGACTACAGTGCGGTAATACGCGAACAGTTAATCATGAAATTAGAAGGACTGTAGTCTTTTAGTCCTTTAATCGGCTGATGGAGTCTTAGTCAATATGATGATGATGAGGATTTCTATGAGACAACCACAGAAAGTGACTGAGTGAGCTGAAGATGAATCTGTCTTTATAAATACTGTACATTTTAATTTAATTACTCCTGACAGCCAGAGGGAGGTGCTTTGCTTTGCACTTGGATATCTACATGTTTGCCCAGCATGTAGGTCGAGAACATAGAACATCTGGAAGATGAATCCAAGATGGTGCTGTGTTGTTTTCAATGGCATCGCGCCAAAAAAGATTTTTACTTTTGCGTTACTTCCTGAATACTGGCCTTACACTGCAAAACATGTGACAT